TCAAATATATGCTTCCCACATGTTAAGGGTGACCGGAAGCATACAATGGAAACCAAAATGAAATCATCATTTATCACTGTGTCAAGAGAAAGAGCTTTGTCTGTCTGGTGCATGGTGTCAGCATGCACACTGCACGAATTCAAAAAGTGTTCCTGTTTTCCAGTTCTTGTATTGGTGACTTGAGTTTAATTGAATATCTTACATGGGTTTCACCTACATTATGGTTTCAATCATCTTACGCAACTGCCTTTTTCACTACCTGAGTTCCTATTACAGCTCCAGCCTCTTACTAAAGGTCTTGATTCCAGCACGACTTTGTCATCTATTACGTGATTTTAGTCAAGTATCGAACCCTCTGAGTCTTTGTTTCCTTATTGTAAAATGTGACAGTGATGGCTGTTCAGACTGTCCCAAAGAGTTATGACTAAAATAATGTGGAGTATAAACGAGCTCTGGTTAACTCTTAACCAACCATATTATTATTGTTATCATACCAATAACAAGTGAACGTTGTTTGCTTAAAAGACAATTGTTTCATTTTCAATTTTAAAGTCAATATAAGAGTACTTCACAAAACAAATTCACCTTACATTTTTAAAATCACTGAAAAAAGTTCTCATTATATTTTCAGAAAAAGAAAACATAACATACCAAAAATGCTCATTCTTGAATATGGAGCACTGATTACAGCACACCAACGGGCACTGTTTCTGATAGAAGATGTTCTAGCAAAATCCTCGGTCCCTGGTACAGTTAATATCCACTGCTTTCACCAGCCCTTCATTCTCAAGCATGGAGTTACCAAAACTAAAGGTTGTTTATTTAAGAGTTGAGGTTTCAACACCCTTTTATTATACGAATGTGATTACAGATTTATGCATTTTCATCTTGGATCTATTCCTCTAGTTCAACTATAGTTTACTATGCTTCACTTAAGAAAGAAATGTTTGGGAAAAGACGAGGCAAGGAAATGGAGAGTGAGGCTAATGAAAACCTTATTAGCCATTTCTTATTTGTAAAATCACAATAAAGACTTTATTTCATTTACTAGCATGAAGAGAAAATACGTTTTCTTTGTTTGTTTGTTTTTGTTTTTAAATTGCCATTCAACAACAAAAAAGTTTAGCTTAAGTTTTAAATTAGACCCTTATCAAAATGTATGGCATGAGTAAAAAGGCTGTGCAGGCCAACGCCAGAGAGCTAGGCTTCTCTTTCTTTCCCACCAACCTCACACATGTGGACACACACACAAAGGCAATCCGCTATATCTAAGGTCAGCAATGTGATTTTCATATGGACACTTTGTCCAAAATATAACTTAGGTTCAAAAAGAATCAGGAAGAATAAAAAGTAAAGAGTGTGCTGAGTTCTGAGAAAATATTAGCAATGCAGGGAGTCCCCTGGTGATCTCGTTTATCTCATCTTTCTTACTTCTGCTACTTAAAAAAAAAGAGGCACAAAACAAAATTTAATGAAAACTACAAATAAATGCTCAATCACCATCAGGAGATAACCAATTAGTTTTCTTCATGATACATGCACAAAAATAAAATCATCACATATCTTGGCAAAAATTAGAGATAAGCTAAATTACAGTGACTTTGATTAAACAGTTAAGTCAAACACTTATGCATCAGTTATAGTTGTGGCAGAATTGTGCTCTTCTACTTCCTCACTTTTCTTAAATGTTAAAAGCTCAGAAAATCGATTTTTGCACATGGCAATCCAAAAAAAGACATTCCATCCAGTGACAAGTACCACTATGACCATTGCTTCCTTTCTGAAATTCTTCCTAACTCTGCTTCTATTACAACTGCCTCTCTCATTTTTTTACTACCTATCTAACTACTAACACCTATGGGGGTTTCTCTTCCTCTGTCCATTCTGTAAATGTTATTCTCCTCTAGAATTCCATCCCTGGGTCTATTTTTCTTATCTGTCTAGACGACCACTTCGACTCAATAATCATGTTGCTTATAAGATGTACAATCCTCCATCTTAGACCTCTGTTCCATGTCTAATGCATGTCTCCACCTGCTCACTGGGAACATCCACCTGTGTATACACCGACTCAAATCTTTCCCCCTATTTACATTCTCTACCCCAGTGGTTAGCACCACCACTTACCCAAGTCAATCAAACCTGAAATCTGGACATCTATCCATCACCTTGATGCCCATCTGATCACCAAGAAACTTTTGTTCTACATTATTATTATCCCTCCGATCTACACTCCCCTCAGCACCACCATTACGTCCTTACAACAGGGCCTCGCTTCTCTAGCAATACACCATAACGATTTCACAAGTGGTCTCCCGCCTCCGGGTTCGACCTGCCACCCTTAGCCCTTCCACATAGATGCCAGTGTAATTGCTCTTCAAACTTTAAGCCTCTGTCCCCCAAGACGTTGGGATGAAGCTTCAGTTCTTCAGTCAGGTTTGTAGGCACCATGGTGGGTGGCTTTGGAAATTTCTGTATAACTGTGTCTTGTCTGCTCACCACGGAACATGGTTATCATTATGGTCATGTGTAAGGGGAACAGGAAGATTGTGGAGGTTTGAGAGAAGATAGGAACAAATACCAGAAATTTAAAAAACTAAAATTGCAAGGGAAAGCATAACATTGCTGAGTTGAAATGAGTTCCGACAGCAGGTTTCTGATCATGACTTTAAGGTGACACAAGCCAGTGTCGTAAGGGACACCGCCACCCCCCCAACACACAAATGAGCTACTTTGATGCAAATATAGAGACAGGGAAGAAAGATGTATGCTTAATGAAGGTCGTGGGCTTTTCCTGGTGAGCAGGACAGGGTGTGCTATGTGCCGGGCATTGTTCTGGGTACGAGGATACAGGAAGAAGCAAAGCAAAGCTGTTCTCCTCGTGGAGCTTACATTGTTGAGGGACAAATAAATAACACAACTGCAAAGAGCCGTTAAGAGTTATAAAGAATATAAAGCTAAGTGGAGGTCAGAACATATTTTGAGAACATTATCTATTAACATTATATTCTCAATTCTTACAATGATGGTACATAGCTAACATTATTACAAACGAGGAATGCCTTACGGCAGTGGAACTTAATTCTCAAAATCTGCCTATTTTAGAGCAGAGGTGAGGGACATTTGCAAGGAAGAAATATTTAACAGAGACCATGAAATCTTGGCTTGAGTATAATTAAGAAGACAGAAAGTGAAAAAGTGGGTGGCTCAGTGGATTGTAGAGCAGAGTGTGGTTGGTAAACCACGTGATAGCTGAATTACAAGGATAAGAGATATTTTTATTATTAATGCAATAAAAATTTTGGCCAGTACTGGAAATAGTCTCTTGAATTGTTTGAGAGAGATTTTAGATTTTAAAAACATGACACATTAAAAAAGACTTTTATGGGATATATAAAAACATGAATATACTGATGTAAAGTAATCTGAGTTCAGAGGTTAATGTAAAAATACTATCTTATTATTGAGAAAAACCTAATTATAAGCAAAAATCTGGCATACGTTATTTCTACGAAAGTGACATGCGTTATTTTCGTCTATAAATTTAATTTTAGAATTTTGTCCTGATAACTAGAATATGGGACAAAAATTGGCTACATTCAAAAAGTTATCTTAAGAGAAACATTATTTTGAATTCCACAGTTTTCACTATATGTTATTGATACAGATTCATGAGCAACCATGTTTAAAACTGGACTTTTTTTCTTCCACATTTTGACATATTTGATCCATATAAGTTTTTCTAAAGGATTTGCTGTTGTCATCATCTCTCTTCCAGATAATTTAGAATGTAAGATCAATTAAGACATATATTTTCTTATTCCCTGTTATAACTCAGTACCCAGGAGAATATTTCGGAAAAAAGTAGGTTTTCAAAAACTTTTGTTCAATGAGTGTGTAATCATAGAGCATCTGAATAGGACCGGAGAAGGAATAAAAAGTAACTGAAAGTGCTGAAGGGACCATGGAAAAAGGCTCATATCACTGGGACTGTTTAACCTAATGGCAAAAAGGTGAGTATTTTGTACCTATAACAACACATAGGTTATTATCCTCACAAGACTTACAGTTTCAAAGGGAGAACTGCTAATATCTGAATTTCATAATAAGGGGATTAAAAGATTTTCCTGGAAGATCATAAACATCTGAATAGATACTGCACCACTTAGTATTACTGGACAATTGTGTCTTCCATTCAAGTGAAATACTAGACAAAGTCTGAGAGTCTCTACCCACCCTTCGAACCCTCATAAATGATCACCAAAGATATCAGAAATGAATGATCATGTGTGATTTGTAAGCACAATATCTAAATTCCACCTGGATTACAAATCATAATTTTGCTATTCACTCAAAAAATGACTAAGATATAGTCATAAAGAAAATTTCAGTGCCTGGTTTACAAAATACAGATTCAGATTACATCATAAATCGCATGTTATTTAAACAATATGGGTGACACTTGCCAACATTTTAGAAATTCAGCAAATTGTTCAACCTTTTTTAATGAGTCATAGAATTAAGGGCTCCTTCCTTCCCATGAACAAATAAAAAAAAAGTTTTTAAGTTCCTTGGAAAAAAAAAGGTGCTAAGTATCCAGAAGAATTTATACATCCTATAAAAAAACAGCATAAATGTTTTGAAGATCTGAAAAACATCAATATACTTTGTTTTTAGATATAATGTTTTGACAACTTAGGATATCTAAATTTCTATCACAAAAAGCATACAAATTTTAAAGTCTTTATGAGTTATTTTAACCAGTATCTATTGTATTTACTGTCATTATAAAAAACAATAATAATGAGCATTATTGACAAAATAGCATGTTTAGCAAATTGCTAGTCTTTCATAACTATGTGACTCATGATTAAACAAAGTTTGTTTTTTTCTGATGTCAAAATAATCCCTTTTGAACCAATGTGTATGTTTTTCAAAAAACACCTTCTACCTTTCTGCTGAAAAGGGAGGGAAACGCAAAATGTCTCTTGAGAATTTACCTTGAATGATAAATTGTTCCATGTTTTCTTTGAAAGGTTGAATGTGCTCCTTTGAGGACACCTGGTACACTTTCCCAGCTTCGACCTCACAAGCTGAAATTAGAGAGACACTGTTTAGAACACCCTGCTGTTAATGGAGCACAAAAAACAATTTAAAAATGTATCAGCTAATGTTGGAATATCTTGTTAATCACACAAATTGACATATATTCTACACATATTTTGGAACATCCAACTACTGACACAAGAAGTCTATGATCAGGGCTTCATTTTGGGGATTATAAAAATAAATTGTTAACAAACTGTAACTCTAGTTCAATCACTTTCAAACTGTGTCATCTTGGGCAAGTTTCTTAACATCGGAGCCTCGGCTTCAGGCATGACCCCTGGCGCCTGCCTCTCAGTGCTGGATCAAATCAGTTAATAGATGGAAAGTGTTCAAACAGTGCCTGGCAGGCACCCAGTAAAGCATATGCCATTATGTCCTATCAGCATCACAGTCATCATCATCTACTGACTTCTAATGCAAGTTTATCCTCAGTTAAAGTCCAATTTCTGAAAAAGAGATAATAACTGTGGTGCTAATGTTAGTACGGCAACCAATTATGGAGCCCCGTTATGTGGTGGATATCTTTCACCTTGATCTTTAGAATAAGTTGTGAAGTGGACGTTATTACCCCTTTTACAGCTGAGGAAATTAAGGCTCAAAGAGGGTACTAATTGGTCAAGTGTCCACAGACAATAAGTAATAGATTCATACTTGAAATCCAGATCTGACTCCAAAGTAAATATTCTTCCCACGCCTGTGCCATCAAAAATGCCTAGTATCTACAGATCTCACTTGGGTGAATTAAGATGTATTTCTACAAAAGTTTCTGATGAATTTCTGCCATTATGGTAAGAGTGTGAAACCTTAGCCTAAAAGAAAATAATTTCAAAAAATTGAAAAAGCACATATTTGAAAGAAAAAACTTATGACAGATACATGTTTGACTCAGGTAAACATACTCTCACTACAATTCTTAAGGTTGTCAATTCTTCAAGAAGACTTTGTAATTGCATTATTTAAAATATTTTTTTTAAATCTTATAATACCATATTTTCCTTTTCTTTCTCCTCCAGGTCATTACTTGTTTAAGCAGGGGAATACAGGAGAGCTGTATTGTTAATGCACATTCTCCTCCATCAAATGTAAAACCAGTTATACACATGTAGGGTCCTCTCTATATTTTTCCTGCGTTCCTTACTCTCTGCCTGAGCAATCTCTTGTATGCTGGTGACTGTTCAATCCATATCATTATCCCAGGTATTTTGTAGCTTCAGACTCATATATTAAATGTCTGCAGATATCAAACACTCAGTATTTTCAATACTGAACTCATCATAGCTGTCTCTAGTCTTGCTACCTCCATCAAACCAAATCAGGAGTTATTCTTGACTCCTTCTCCTCACAACATCCTGCTGATATCACTATTACCTCCTCAGTGCTTCTTAAGTCTTCCTATCCTCTCTATTCCTGCTCTATTCTGGTATAAGTGCCCTCCTTATTCTCATCTGGGCTGTTAAAATCTCTTAATCAGGCTTGCCATTTCCCATCCCCCACAGATCTACACAGCTTCGCACAGCTTAAAAAGTCATCCAGAAGAGACTTAACCAATAACCAACTGTTGAATAACTTCTACCCTCACAACCACATCCTGAATTGAGGAACAATTTCAAAGCCTACAACATGAAGCACAGTACTTTCCTCAATCTAGGCCTCGCCAAACTTTCATTTGCTTTTACTCCTGATATTTTTTGCAGACTCAGTGCAGGAAGTTCTCATCTCCCTGCCCTTGCTCATGTTGGTTCCTCTGCTTAGAATGCTTTTCTCCTTACTCCCACCCCTTAACTCACCAGTTACCACTAACGCTTCATGACTTAACTCACGTGTAACTGCCCATAAGAAGTATCCCCTCACCTCCCTATATACCTTGCTTTCCTCCATTCCCTGTCACTTGTCTCTTCTGTGATCTTACAGCGTTTTATGCACGCAGAATTAAAGCTATTACTTACCAAGTACTTTTCATGTGCCAAGGACTTTCTAAATACTTTACATGTGTTCTCCCATTCGATCCTCAAAAAACCCTTTGAAGTAGATTAGTAATACTGCTCTTGCTTTATATCAGAGGAAAATGAAGTACAAAGAGACTGCCCAACTTACATAGTATATAAGTTGAGGAGTTAGGGTTTAATATCAGCTTCCTGGCATTAAAGTCATTTGTAATTGTGTCTATTCTGTCCCACTAACTGAGCAACTTGAAGAGAGGCAATCTAATTCCCATTTGTATTCCTAGTGCCTGATACAAGCAACAAACTGTTGAATGATGTGTTAGTGGTTGGATAAATAGCTACTGAGTAGAAATAGCACTCTAGGTTTTGGAAGCTAGCAGACAAGTTTCAAATTTTAGTTCACTCACCCACTGAATGACCCTTGTAACTTGGGGTTAATTACCAGACCTCTTTGGATTTCAGTTTCCACATCTAACAGTGGATTTAATAAAATCTCTAACACTAGGGTGACTATTGTCTAAACTAGGTAGAATATCCTTGAAACTAAATTTGGGATTTAGAAGTAGAGCCACAGAAAAATAGTAGCTATTTTTTTTTTTAATATAAAACCAGATATAGTTTAGCTTAGAGAAGGCTAAGATGAAATAACAGAGCTGCTTTCAAAAAGTTGAAGTATGGTCCCAGAGATAAGAAAGTGTAGACTTCCTCTATGTCGAGTCCAGGGAAGGAGATGGCTAAACAAGCACAGAATATGCAGCAGATATGGAGAAAAGGTATAACAAAATATTTTTTAAAATGAGGAAAAATTATATTTTAAATTAAATTTCACTTAATTTTATAAATGTCCCTGGCCCATTCATATGAACTATATTCTTAATATAAATGAAAGCAAAAATTATTATTTTCTATCTCCTATCTTTTCCCCTTCACTTATAGATTTTCCTGTACAGAAGGGTAACCAAACAGAATTTTAGATCCAGAAAAACTCCAGTCATTTAACTGACAAACTCATTTCCAGTCCTCCTTCTAGAAGGTCACAAAAGATTCTTGTCATGTATCTGGGTGTTTCTAGTGACATCCATTCATATCTCTGCCAGGCAGCATCTTCCTTACTGAGCGTATCTAATTATTAGAATTCTCAACTACATACTGAGAAGAAATCTCTCTCTCCCTACAGGATACCCCCGTGGAATGATATATCTGGAGTTTGCTTTTAAAATATTTCAGATAGATTCACATAAATTACTTGTGTAAATGAAAAGTAATTTTCATTTCAATTCACCATAGATAGTTCAAATCTTTAGTGAGTCACAGGACAATTCCACTCTCTTTGAAAACAGAAGAGGACCCTCGCTTCCTACCATTCTTCAGTTACTCACTCCACTGTGTTGCCAGCACTTAGAACATTTCCTGGTAAGCAACCAGCATTAAGCAACTATCTGTGGAGTGGATGGAAAAATAAACTGGATTCTTCTGTCAATATGAACTTATTAATTTGCAAAATGCCATATTTATTCAAATATCTCCATGCTTTATACATTCTATTCATTCACCGGACTACTATTATCCCTTTGACTAATTATTGAACTTCGACTTATCCATCCATATGCAATTATCACTGCAAGGTTCATCTATCACCCTAAGCCAAGAGGGTCGATCTCCCAATGAACTTCGCATCTCCATCTTCTATAGAACATGTGTAAATAATATAAGATAAAAGCAAAGCTTTGAAAAAAATAGATCTGGATTCAAGTCTAGTTCTACTAGTAGCTATGTGATCTTAGGCTAGTTCCTTAAATTATCTGAGCCCCAACATCCTCAACTAGAAATTGGGTTGATGAAGGGAGAGCACTTGAGCACTAAACACTGAGCTGACTCTTAACAAGTTCTCAAAAAGTGATAGCTATTAATGATATTATTTTATTGCATGTATTTGTTTATGTGTCTTTATCTCTGATTCTACTTTGCATTCCCTGAATCAAAGACTGTCCTATTCACCTGTGTGCCTTGTGCTTGATATACAGAGTAAGCACTAAAACCTTGTGTAAAAAAAAAGTGCTTTCAGCTATGCCAATGACCATTGACTTTCCTAAATATGAATATTAAGCCTCCAGTGGTAGGTCACATATAATCCCATGTAAACCTTACTCCAAGTGTACCAAAATCCAATCCAAATTACTAAAGCTCTTCACTGTGATATATATCCTGTGCAATTATTTGTGGATGGCTGTTGCTTTATTTCATTATATTAAGAAGAAAGAGCCTGTTGGATAACTCTAAAAATAAAATGTAAAGTTCTAGAGATTGTATGTACATATATGTAATATATAGTATGTATACTTATATAATTATAGATTCAATAGTACATATGAATATGCTGAATAAGGAAATTTCTTTATAAGATTAAAAGCTATTCTTCTCTTAACTGTAGTACATCTTGCTGCATAACATCATCCTGGCAATTACTTATTATTTTCAAAAGCAACTATGTGAATTTTTAAAAAAATACCAAACACTACAATCATACAAACTTGGAGGGTCATTTAGTAACATTATTAAAAACATAAGATACAGTTTTTGGAAAACTAGCATTACAGTCAAATCCAAATAATTTTTAAAAATATGCTAAAAGTTGTTGGCATAACTGAGTAATTCCAATCATGCTGTTTGTTTAATTTAAAGATCTTCCTAATCCAAAAAGATTTCGTATTGTGTTAAAGGGATAATACTGGAAAAGCATGAGTTAGGTTTCCAAATACAAAGAAAAATCCAGCCAGAGAACAGGAAGAACAAAAATCTCCCTAATGATCCCACTAGAAAATAGGTTCCAAAATATGAATGCCATCTACAGACTGGTGTGTTGGGGGCAGAGCAAACATCATCTTATTACTGTCATATTAAAGCAAGAACATCGCATACACTCTCTGAAATGAACCATATCGTGAGGGTTCTGGTTTTTTTTTTTTTTTTTTTTTTAGGGAATTGAGATATTCCAGCTGTAACTTATACAAGTCTCCAAATCAATCAATGTTAATCAGTTT